CCACACAAGGAGACTCCACAACCTCTCTGGGCAGCCTGGGCCATGCTCCAGAACCCTCACACTCACAAACTTTGTCCTCATCTTCAGCTGGAACCTCCTGTGCTCCAGCTTGGAGCCCCTTGTCCTGGCATTGGCCATCCCAGAGCAGAGCCTGGCTCCTTCCTCCTGACACTGCCCTTTCCCAATGGATCCCCAGGAATGAGGGCACCCCTCAGTCTCCTCTGCTCCAAGCTCCAGAGCCCCAGCTCCCTCAGCCGCTCCTCAGCAGGAGATGCTCCACTCCCTCCATCACTTTGTGGCCCTGCTGGACTCTTTCAAGCAGTTCCTGTCCTTCTGGAGCCGAGGGCCCAGCACTGGACCCAAGATTGCAGCTGTGGTGTGAGCAGGGCAGAGCAGAGGGGCAGGAGAACCTCTGTGCCCTACAACCACCCCTTCTCATCTAGGTGACCCCAGGATGGCATTGGCCTTCTTGGCTCAAGGGCACATTGCTGGCTCATGGGCATTGCTGCCACCAACACCCCAGGTCCTTTCCAGCCACTCGTCCCCTGCAGCGTCCATGGGGTTATTGTGCCCCAAGTGCAGGACCCGGCCCTTGGCCTTGTTGAAGCTCATCCCATTGGCCTCAGCCCATGGATTCATCCTGGCCAGGTCCCTCTGCAGAGCCTTCCTACCTCAGGCAGATCAACACCCTCCCAACTCAATGTCATATGCAAACTTGCTGAGGGAGCACTCAACCCCTGACCGTGGTGGGTTGGTCTTCTACTCCCCAGTGGCTTTTAAGGCAGAGGTTCTCAGCACTGATACTGTGCAGTTACTTCATCTCTCGTGGTGTCCAGAGATGCATGACACAACAATCCGTTAGTCCTTCTGCACCGCTCAGGACACATTTAACTTGTCTGCATGTCGATACTGTGAGTGAATATCACCTGGCTTTGCTGAAATGGCCAACATCGAAGTTCTCTAGCTATAGCTGGTCTGATGTGACGACAGCTTGCAAACAGAACCTTCTACTTAGCCAGTTTCTGAATTTGGTGGGACAAACCTGTACATAATACTGCTGTATTTCAGGCAGTTTGACATAGAAGGATGACCCAAAAAAATTCCCCACAGCATGAATTTAATCTGGAACACCTAGAGAATCATATTCAAGCATTCATATTGTAATGGAGTGTGATTTCCACTACAGGATCAGGCTGTTAGTTTCTTGGCTGTAGCTAGCAGCCCTCTGGCAAGGTCTTTTTAGTGAGTCATTGTTGTAGGTCTGGTAGCATACCAGGAAGCCCTGTTTCTATTCGGGTAGTAATGAGAGAGTGGAGCACTGCAGCATCCTTGATCACAGGCCAGGAGAAACTCACCTGTCAGCAGATCATCGCTTCCTAAAACAGCGTCCACTGCAGCTGAGGACTGATCGTTTAAAACAGCTGTATGAAATTTCACTGAAAGGCTGTGAAATAAGTCCTTGGGAAGAGTTTTCTGTAAATAACAAAAGGCGTTAGAAACTGAGCGTGCAGCAGTATACATCTGGTTGTACATGTGAGCCAGGACGGGTATCGATCTTGGCTGAAGTTACCAATCCTCTGATTTAAATGACAGCCTTTTTTGGCACTGGCAATTAGATGAAGGCTTCTGAATGCTAGTTCAAGTACTGTTGCAGATTCCATGCTCATATGTTTTGGATGTAATTTGTTTGCTATTATCAGCCCACATTTAGAATTTACTGCACTGTTTTCTATGTTGGTTTTTTTTCCCAGCCTGTTATTTGGCTCTGGTTGAAAAGCCTGTGGTCCAAGTCTTGAAATCAAAGGAAAGTAATTTTTTAAGTTGCTCCTCGGCACAGGTCACGAAGGAGGGCTTGATAATGCTTGAGGATAAGTTCACATCTGCTTTTGGTACAGATGACAAATCCGCAATGACAATATTAGTCATATTATAAAACTTGGGTCACTGGCATGGGAACTTCCATTAGCTGCTAACCACAATTAGGAACTTAGAAAGAAAGAAGTGAGATTTAGATTTTAATGATGCTTTTCTGATTTAATTCTTCCTTTTAAAAGTGCTGTGGAATCAACTGAATCTTTCTTTTCAGACTGAACAAGTGATGACACCTGAAGATGTGCCGGGCTGCCGTGAAATGCCACGTGCCCTTGGATCCATGGAATTTTCTGATGCAGCTTCACTGTCTGAAGAATCTCCGTTCGAGGAATTTATTCTAGACGCCTGCAGAACGAAAGAGGTGTTTGAAGAATAAGTACTAGTTCTTTAAAAAATGTTATATACTATTAACCCAAAAAAACCTCACTGTTCTTATACAGAAAACCTATTATACATTTAAGTGTTTGGTGGACCCTGGCCAAGGGGAGTTGACCTGAGTAAAGAAGCATTTTAAATTTTTAGAACGTAAATTGTGGCTTCCTCTAGCTGTAAGTAACAATTCATCTGATGAGAACTTGAGCTTTGGCATTTGGTTTGCCTGAAAACAGCATTCAGGGAGTGAGTAAATGAAACAATGAGGATTTTAAAACTGACAGGAAAACAGTGAGGTATGGCAAACAAGATCTTGGAGCTAGGCTAGAGCTGGGCAGGTCTTAGAAGAAGTTCAACCTGTCTGTATTGGGCAAGAAAATCCAACGAAGCAATTAAAACTATAGAGTTAAATCAAATGAAAGCTTGTAACTGTGTTTAGATGAGCTGGTGAGGAGTAGCCCTCAATATACAACTGAAGAATTTAGAAGAGCTGATAAAGAAATGGTAAATTACTTGAGATGTCTATTAGCAAGTTATGGAGGAAATTGGAAGTATTGAAGGGCTTTTCACTGCTCAGCTCAATAGCAAGCATCGTATGGTATTTTTAAGCTGCTTCGTTTTCAGAATTTCCTTGTCCGTAACATTCCTGAATGTGATCAGAATACAGCAAAGGATGTGTTGTTCTTTCGTTACATCTCTCGTAGCAGTCAAGGCATGATGCTCAACGGGATGATACGGAATTCACACTGTCAACTCCGGTGACAAGAAAAGTGGCATCAAAGAAGCGTGAAAACAAAGAGAATGTTGATACGGAGTCAGCTTTAAGAAGTGAAGTGCCCCTTGTGCCTCCTGCTCCAAAGACTCCGCTTACAAATCCGACTGAGACGCAAGTACAAACCGTACCCTTCGAGGTACCTGCCTTCAAAGGTACGCTGAGTGCAACTAATGAAAACTTAGAACACACGTGTTACTTAGAAATTATTGTAAATCAGGGTATGGACACAGTGCTTGTGCGTTCAACACATCTGTTTCTGGAAGACTTCACCTTTTTGCCATATTCACCAGCCTGGTACCTCTGGTCAGGTGCCACAGGAGGTTTAACCGTACACCAGGGCACATCACTGGTATGTGAATTACAGAAGCCATTGCCATTTCAGTATCCCACGTGCCTTTTGGCACACTCTGATATGGAGCCAAGTGCTGTGTTCCTAAAACTTGCATCTGGCTCTAATTTTCTGCGGAGGCTGAGGACACGATTTCCTCAGCGCTCTTTTTCTCTTCTTTGTTACTACCCGGAGTGAAAATAAAGGCGCACTTGTAGTAAAGTCTGCTTTTGTTGCTGCTTCTAAGGCAAGTCTAACTTTTGGATTTCTCATGGTAGCGTATCAGCAGTTTCACAGTAAGGGGCCGGTGTGGCAGTGAAAATACTTCTGTTAACATTGTATAGATCTTAAGTACATGACAGACCACTGAAGTCTGCATAAATTATGTCAGCTTGTCTGAGTTACCAGAAATTTCTGTCCTCAGCTTGTCTGGTCCGTTCTTAGGAAAAATGATGGATCCGGTATGTACTTTACCAGCCCCTTCAGCTACGAACATAGAAGGTTTGGTGTTGATACTGCAAATGCCAAGGACTTCTTTTAGTGGGAGACTCTTCTGTTTCGGGTGCTGAGGAACACTGTTCAGAAGCAGTAGGTCTTTGCAGGTTGATTCAGGTTTTAAAGGGTCTTGGGCATACTGCTGTTCAATGAGATCCTTTGTGAAGGATTTAAGGAGGTGGACTAATTGCTTATCACAGAATCACAGAATCACAGAATGGCTGGGTTGGAAAAGACCTCTGAGATCATCACGTCCAACCGCTCCTGTCTACCCCCTAAACCATATCCCTAAGTACCTCATCTACCCGCTCTTTAAACACATCCAGGGATGGTGACTCCACCACCTCCCTGGGCAGCCTGTTCCAGCCTCTGACGACCCTCTCAGTAAAGAACTTCCTCCTTCTCTCTAACCTGAACCTCCCTTGGCACAGCTTGGTGCCGTTTCCCCTTGTTCTATCCCCATCACCTGGGAGAAGAGCCCAGCACCCACCTCTCCACAAGCTCCCTTGAGGCAGTTGTAGGTGGTGATGAGGTCTCCCCTCAGCCTTCTCTTCTCCAGGCTAAACAAGCCCAGTTCCCTCAGCCGCTCCTCATCAGGCTTGTTCTCCAGAGCCCTCCCCATCCTTGTGGCTCTGCTCTGAACACGCTCCAGAATCTCCACATCCTTCTTCTAGTGAGGGGCTCAGAACTGAACACAGCACTCGAGGTGCGGCCTCACCAGTGCCGAGTCCAGGGGGATGATCACCTCCCTGGCCCTGCTGGTCACACTGTTTTTAATACAGGCCAAGATGCCGTTGGCTTTTCTGGCCATGTGGGCACAGTGCTGGCTCATGTGAAGCCGACTGTCAACCAACACCCCAGGTCCTTCTCCTCCAGACAGAGTTTGATTTATACCTTAAGATTATATGTGGTAACTGGCGAAGTCAAACTTCACATTAAGTTTAAAGAGCGAAAGTAAGTGCTCCTTCTGAAATGGGCAACACAGAAACGCTGTTTCGGCTCACTTTACTTAGGTATTTCTGTGGGTTGAACCATTAAAAGCTAATTCTTTGCTTCACTGAAAGATCTTTGATTCAGGAAAAGCAGTAGTAATGCTTCTTTAGAGGTAGAGAAGTGGAAGTATCCTCTGGAAATTGAGGTCATCATTGCCTGGGCCAGGTGCAATTCTGTAAAGAGCTGAAACTTTGAACACTGAAGTTGGGTTTAACAGTAACTACTCATTTTGCTGGCTTTCACTTGGTGTTGCTTCTGCATGTTCAAAACCATGCTCTGCAGACTCGGTCAATGTGTGGATAGGAGAACTTCTTAGGCTTTTACGTAGTATGTATTGTTAAGCATGGCTCTATAAACTCACACCCTTCCTATAGGGGAAGTGGCTTGGTGAAGAATGCAACTGTTGGACACAGTGAATTGCTCAGTATTTATTCTGGGACAGTGGCAGAGCACGAAAGCAATCCTAATCCTTCTTCTTTCCAAATTTCTAATATTGAACTGCATTGGTTGGTCTAAAGCTTGACTTGTAGAGCCCTGGGGAAATCAGTCACAGTTTACATTGTAGAGGACGGATGGCATTATTATAATATTAAAAACTTATTTTATCATTCTGAAGGTGTACAGATCTGAGAGAGAAAAGGGGGCTGGTTTTAGAAAGAAATTATTAATCATGAGAAATCCTTGCTGAAGAAAATAAAATCCTCTATGCTAAAACGTAACTGCTTTGGCTTGGATGCTTTCTTTCAGGGGGCCAGTTCCCTGTGGTCACCCCAATTAAGAAACCTACAGACCCAGCAGACACAGATGAACTGACAGCAGCTGAGGTTCCTCCCAAAAGAAGGTAAATGCCCAGTTATTTGTGTGCGCTTCTGATGTAGAGCAGGACTACCTTAACCTGTGTACTGCCTGGCATCCCACGTTGCAGCAGCACGCTGTCGTTCTCGTTGTGTTGGTAAAAGCTTTTCTGCATTCCCTAGAAAACATTGAAGGCAGAGAGGTTTTAAAATCACAGAATCCCAGAATTCCAGACCGTTAGGGATTGGAAGGGACCTCCAAAGCTCATCCAGCCCAATCCCCCTGCCGGAGCAGGAACACCCAGATGAGGTTGCACAGGAAGGCGTCCAGGCGGGTTTTGAATGTCTGCAGAGAAGGAGACTCCACAACCTCTCTGGGCAGCCTGGGCCAGTGCTCTGTCACCCTCACTGAGAAGAAGTTTCTTCTCCAATTGAAGTGGAACCTCCTGTGTTCCAGTTTGTGTCCGTTACCCCTTGTCCTATCATTGTTTGTCACTGAGAAGAGCCTGGCTCCATCCTCGTGACACTCACCCTTTAAATATTTATAAGCATGAATGAGGTCTCCCCTCAGTCTCCTCTTCTGCAAACTAAAGAGCCCCAGCTCCCTCAGCCGCTCCTCAGAAGCGAGATGCTCCACTCCCTCCATCATCTTTGTAGCCCTACGCTGGACTCTCTCCAGCAGTTCCTGTCCTTCTTGAACTGAGGGGCCCAGAACTGGACGCAATATTCCAGATGCGGTCTCACCAGGGCAGAGTAGAGGAGGAGGAGAACCTCTCTGCCCTACAACCACCCCCCTCCTGATACACCCCAGGATGCCATTGTGTAACTCAATCCTCGGGATATATTCCCATTTTCCATACTATAAGTTCCTTCTTATTCCAGTTCCCCAGAGGGCTGCAGTTTCTGTGGTACATCTCTGGCTTTAAATCTCAACTGGCTTTTTCTGCACTTGCTTTGGTTTTCTTCATTCTGTCAGCTCTGGTAATATTTTAGTGACGTATCCGAAATACTGATTGATTTGTTCACGTAACAGGCGTTGTGATTCAGCGGAACCGGGTCCCAACCTAGCTCACGTGGATAGCAGCCAAAAGAAGAGAAAGGCCAAAATATTTGGAAGCCTTGAAAGAGGCCTCGATAGAGTGATCACTATGCTTACGCCGAGCAAAAAGACGCGATCCATTAGAAACCATCCGAGGAAACTTAAGGTATGGTTGCTGGGAAAAATCTTTCATGGAAAGTGTAATTATTGACAATATCCAATACCTTTAGCAGTCGTCTTGTGAAAACGCCTGTGTTCTGATTTGCCTTAATTCTACGGGAAAGTGTGGTTGCTCTTCCTGCATCTCTGTCAGCGTGATAAGGTCCCACTTATCGCCCAGAGATGTGGTGTTGGTCTGGACTCGGGTGAGTCCCCAGCAGACCAAGGCAGGATCTGAGCAACCGCCACTGCTTTTCGTGTCCTGTCTAAACCAGACCCCAGGGGAGCAGCGTGGTTTTAAGGGAATCCTAGCTGAAATTTTTTAGCTATGTCACTTGTATAGAGATACTGCTACTTCTCCTAAAAAAGAACAAGCAAATCAACAACAAAAAAGACAACAAAAAACCCCTAACCCACACTAAAACGAACAACCAACCCCCCCACGGCTTTGATAATATTGCTGGGTTAGGTTTCTGTAGTCCAGGAGTGTTAAGTCTGTTCCAAGAGAGTCTTTGGATATCGAGAGAACCTGAGATTAAACTTAAAGCCTGGACAAGCGACACCCTATGAAAGAATTTCTGACACTGCCAGCGTAACTTTGGTTTTTGAAGTTTTTCTGTCACTGTGTGTGAGCCAGTTGTCTGCTTACTCTTCTTCAAGTAGCCATAGAAAAAGCACCTCCTCAGTGCATTGCACAGAGCGCTTTAAAATTGCATTAATAATTTGTACCTACCAAAGTTGACTCATGAGGTTAACATTATTTTTGCAGAACACGCATCAAATTGCATTGGCACAATGCTAGCCCAGTGAACAGAATTACATACATCACTGAAAAGCAGCTAGTATACTTCAGAACTTATACAAGAAGGGATTTATACTCGAATCTGTAGATGACATGTTTGAAAAATACGATTACCGTGAAGGAGGCAAGGCTGTTGCCAGGGCGTACGCAGCTCCGTAGCAATCAGTGATGTTTGCCTTCAGCTCCTGGAGCTGCGGCTGTGAGGACACCACCTGCACAGCAATTGCTGCCGGTCAGTAACAGGGCACTTGGTGCTTTGCAGAAGGAAGTCAGCTGCTGTATTCGAGCTGGGAGCTTTTCCAAGAGGCACTGTCAGAGGCCAAGTGGCAGAATTCAGGTTCAGGGCACGTGCTGGGCTACAAACCTGACCAGCTCATCAGACAGGAGGCCAGACTGCAAATGGTTCAGGAGCAGAAGCTACATCTTCTGTCTCTTAACAGCTTTTGTCCTTATGCATCAACTTCCCTCGTCCGTAGGGTATGCAGAGTTACTGATGTACATCAAGGGACACTGGAGTTCAATGGGAGAAGACAAAACCGCATTTCAGTGTTACACAGGTTGTGGCAGGCAGTTACGTGTGTCTTAGGCTGAATAGGAACGGTGAGAACCACAGACCTTGACTTTGCATCCTCGAGCTATGTCCATTTCTCACGCTATTTTATGATCGTTTCTTCCCGGCTTCTGTGACTTCTGAAGGTAGAGACCATTTGTGGCCTATTACAGTTGGCATACGCTTTCCCTCGTTACATATGGGTGTCTGAAAGTTGTTCAAGAAGTCACTTACTGGACAAGTCCATTGTATGAAGTAGTGGATGTGCTATAAAGCCCCTGTAGCAGTAAGCTTACAAGTAGTACTTTACCTTTTCTGTCTGGACGTGGCGATGCTCCAGTCCTGGAAAAGCCACTTGGCACCAGAAGTGCTCGGTCTCAGCCTGGCTGCCCGTGCAGTGCCCAGGAGGGTGCTCAGACACTGTCCTGTGGCTGTCATCTCAGGTCATCCTCTCCAAAAATTGCCTCCATCCTGACCTGGCCCATCACTGTGACTTGGGATTTTAATATGGTTCACACATGCTTTGATATTAATTGTCCGGCAGCTGTTGTTTAGTGTTCCCTTTGCTCCTACAATGTCTTAATTATGATAACAGTGGATGTTCATGCATTTCTCACTGTGTCTTGCTGCTCCGGAGGTTTCTCTATGAAAACTTTGCGAAACGTCTTCAATTTTAGGAAAAAGAAGTTATTTTCCCTTGCCTTTTTTTCCTAATGAGCTGATTACTTTTAGGCACACTATAATGTTACTGCCACTCAGCGACTGAATCCAAACCAACTGCTGAATGAAATAATCACTGTCCTTTCAAAGAAGCATGTGGAATACGTTCAGAAAGGGTGAGTGTAAAATATGATGACTTCTACTTACGTTTGTCTAAATAGCCAGTACTCCAATCCTTGATAAATCGAAATACCTCAACGTACTTCCTCAGCCCCACGTTGTACAATACAGTGATTTTATAGACAGTGCACCATGAAACACAATATGTGTGCAGTGAAACTTGTGCACTTGTGAGGTCTAACAGCGCTCTGTGACAGATATGAACCAGTAACGGTGAGATAGCTCTTAGAAGATGATGTGGATTTTGTCTCTTTTGAAATTGCAAATGCAAAAGGTTTTTTAGGGTGCAGTCAGCTGGCTAAATGAGACAATTTAGCCTTCTCTTCTCCAGGCTGAACAGCCCCAACTCTCTCAG